TTGAAGTTAGTACAACAGAGCCAGAAGCAAGCTAGTTCCCGAGCAGTGCCCTGTGGTTCTGGCCACTGTGTCTCCCACATCTCCCGACCCAGTGGGGACAAGGCAGACGCCCAGGTGCTTTGTGTTCAGCTGGAAGCCAGCATGAACAGCCCCAGTCTGGAGGAGGCCTGGTGCCCTGAGTCCCGAGGCCCTGGCGAAAGCAAGAACTCAGCCCAAGTGCCCACCCCAGCAGAGAAGGAAGAGGACCCAGGGAAACCCAAAGCAGCAGGGGACCATGGAGAAGGGGATGCAGGGTTTGGGCTCCCCTCAACCAGAGAAAACAGACACCCTGCTGAAGACCAGAGGCCAGCAGGGACCCCTCTGAACAAGATGCCCCAAGGCCCCTGGAGAAGGAACCATAGCTTTGATCTTGCTGCCACCTGTAAGCAGACGCCTGGGCACTGTCCTCAGCTTAAGCCGCCAGAGCTACCTCCAGTAGTCTCTAGCAGGAAAGAGCCTGAGAAGAATGACGTACAACACAGTCACACCAAGCCGAATCTCCTCACAGAGCCAGCAAGGATCCCTGGGACTCCCCAGGCTTCACAGGACCAGCCTTTGGTGGGCCCACTAACTCAAGGGACACATTTGCACAGCCAGACTTTGCACGGTGAGATTCCACAGGGGTGGGTGAGAACAGCCCATGCTCCCGAGAGCCCCAGCCTTCCAGAATCTGGCCTAAGAAATAAGATGAAACACTTCTTGCACTGTATTAATCTCAAAACAAAAGGCAAAGTGGATGAAGAATCCATGCTCTCTCCAGCAGAGAAAGTGACCAAAACAAGAAGGAAAAGTGCTGAGAAGAGCCTGGCCCCAGCCCCAGGCCGTGTGGGGCAAGTGAAGACAGAGAAGGCAGCAGGGCGCCGGCAGGCCCGGCCCGGCCCCACTGAGGGGCAGGGGGCCCTGCGCTTTTTGGGTGGCCCCCAAACCCTGCCCAGTCAGATCCGGCACCGCACTAGTCAACCCCAATCTGCCTCAGTCGTGGGCCACCCTTGCCACTGTCCTCGGCACTGTCCTCGAGTGGCTTGTGCCACCCAACCAGGAAACCATCCTAGGTCCCAATCCTCACCTCAGAAGGAAATATGGGACTCTTCAGGGAGAAGACTTGATATATTCAAAGAGAGTTTGTAGGCTCTCAACCTTGAAGAGGGCTCGTATTGTCGTTGTCATTAAGGTGCAGTGGGACAGAGTGCTACTCCCAAATATATCTTTAAGCAAAGAGCTGTCTGCTTGTTCCTCCCTGTATCCAGTGTGATGTGTTGTTGTTATTTGCCGTCGAGTCGGACCCGACTCACAGCGACCCCTCCTTGGGTTTCCAAGGCAGTATCATTACAGAAGTAGATTGCCCCATCTTCCTTCCGAGGAGTGGCTGGTGGGTTTGCACCTCCAGCCTTCTGGTTAGCAGTCAAGTGCCTTAGGCACTATGCAACCAGAGCTCCCTGTGATGTGTTAAGAAGATTTAAAAGTCCTTCCTAGCTGGGTAGAAAGCGCAAACCCACATTGCAGTTGGGTCAGCATTCCAAACAACCCCTCCCAGCCTCACACCAGGTTGGATGAAGGCACTTGAGTGTAGATGGAAGGCCCTGTCTAAGGTGCGTTGGGCGTGGAAATCAGGCCGGAGTTCAGGCATGGCGTCCATGACGACGCGGACCCCAGAGGAGAACGTGGATGTGACAACAGTGTCGAACAGCAGTGGTTGGGAAATCAGTGCATGGTTGGCCCATGCACACCCACCACCTGGAGGGAAGGTTGTTAGGGGAGCACCACGTGAAGCCTTGAAGAGGTGCCTTTATCGTTTGTAAAAGCAGTTAATACAACAGATATCAAAACCAAAATACAGACTCCCCTCTCGGCTCCCTGTTGCTACTGAAAAGAACCTACTTGGGAGCCTGCTGTGGTCCTGTCGCCTGCTTCCCATCTCCGCAGCCGAGAGCCTTCATGGAAGGCATTAAGATCGGAGTAGGAGGTGGAGAGCTGTTGTCCCCTACTCCCCACAGAAAGGCAGGAGGTGAGGCAGGTGGGGGACACAGATGGAAGTGTGGATACCCACGACAGGTGTGTTTTCCTGACCAGGGCACAATACGGACGAAAAGCTGGTTTTCTTCGTCCTAAAAGAAAGCCCAGAGCCAGGAAGCCAACCCAAAGCCCATATGCTCTTGAGGAAGCGGGGTGGGCGACTCTGCTTGCGATAATGTAACGTGAGCAGTAAGCCAAGCACTGAAGCTTCTGGGACAGAACCATAGGAAACACGAGGGGGTTTCTAGACGTAGCCCAGCCTGTCAGGTTACTGCCAGCAGCTTGGCCCTGGCCCTGTGGCTGCGTCCTCTTTCTATGGGTCTAGAGACCTATACCTGGGTCGTCCTCCACCACCTGCCTTTCCTCCTGCCTTGCTGTCTGCAATCTGCTTCCGTGATGAACAGTGGTGCTGAAGCCAGTTGGCCATGTATATTCCCTCCAGGATCTGCCTTCCCCTCAGAGGATGACTGCTACCTTTTACCCCACCAAGGACCGCACCATATCACCCTCCTAGCACCTCCAAACCCACTGCCCCGAAGTAGATTCTGACTCACAGAACCCCTAGAAAACAGTGAAACTGTCCCATAGGGGTTCCAAGGCTGTCAGTCCTTATGGAAGCATACTGCCACATCTTTCTTCTGCGGAGTGGCCAAGTGCTTTAACCACTCTACCACCAGGGCTGCTCTCCTAGTGCTAGCCCCCTCAGTTTAAACTTGTTCCCCGTCATCCTTCCCCATCTCTTCAGATGTTCCACTTCATTTGAGAAAACACCAAAACCACTTACCCTGAGTGCCAAGAAGACTGTGAGGCTTTTGGAAAGTGTCCTGCCCACTAACCAGATGTTCTGGTTCCCTAGTGCTGCTCTGACAACAATATACCACAAATGGGATGGCCTTAACAAACAGGAGTTTATTATCTTATAGTTTGGAGGCTTTAAGTCCAAGTTCAAAGTGCCAGGCTCTAGGGG